GGCCGGGGCACTCTCCGCCCTCCCATGCTGACCTGTGGCTGGAGGACCAGGTCAAGGCTGGGGACGTGGGGTGGAAGGCGTCGCTGAGCACACATGCCCCTCGCTGTGCCCCTTCTCTGCACCCGGCTCTAAAGCACATGAGAAGCACAGACGCCAGACACCACAGCCTCAGCATCCACCCCACTGAGGCTGTGCGTCTACGGCCGCCGGTCCACGCTGCCGGAGAGTGGGAGGGGCCTGTGATTCCCACGCCTGCCTCAAACTCCCAGCACCGGAGAGGCAGACTTGGCCACCACACCTCTGCCCAGAACCCAGCAGTGCCCATATGTCTGCTTTCTGTCTCTTTTTCCCAGCCCAGGATCCTGGTGGCTTTTAAGGCCTCATGCCTGAAGAATATTAGCCTCCGCCCAGCCTGCACCTCCAGGACCTCCGGCCCTGCCCCTTCCTGGGCACAGCCTCCCCACACCTGTCAGCCAACTGGACTGTCCCACACCTCCCAGTGGCCACTGCGGCCCTGACAATGGGTCTGCACAGGGTCATGACTGCAGCCCACCAACCCCAAAAGCTTTCAGGGAAAATGCCCTGGCCCAGGCCTGAGACTGGAGGCCCCTGCCCTTCACCCCACGGCTCAGCTCCGGGGCAGCCCCGAACAAACCACCACCCTCTGCTACCCCCATACTGGGCTGTAGTCTTTACTTTGATTTCCTGGAAAGGAGTTTCAGGAGAAATGGACTTGTGGGAGACAGCACCTCTCTTCATAAAGAAAGACCTTGCCTCAGCGAGGAGGGCTGGCCGGGCATAGCCGCCTTCTGCACGCCTGGCAAGGGCTGGGTGAGGGCCGGACTTGGGGACCAGGTCTCAGTCCTCAAGGCAGTGCTGTGGGGGCTGCGGGAGCCAGCACGTGTGTGCTGATGGGAAAGGGGGACATCTGCATAAACCAGTAGAAAAGAGCAGAAGCAGGACCTGCCCAGGCCCCGGGCATCGTCAACCCGGTGCCTGCCTGGGAGGGCAGCCCTGAGGGAGGGGCTGGTGGCTGACATTTGTGTGCAAGACGGAACGCACGGCACTGGGTGGCTGGCTTGTGTTTGACTCTCTCACTGCTGGTCCTGTCTGTTGGATCTCGAATGCAGGTAGGTGCACAGGCTCACGGCCTCGCCCTGTACAGGCTGGGACGAGGTTCACCCAGGACTGTTTTAGCTCAGAGACAAGGCCAGAGAGTCTGGAGGCCAGAATTCCTCTCTAACCACTGGCCCCCTCTTTTTACAAAGAGAAGCATTTCTGGTGAGCTCCTCTTCATCCCTCAATACCCTATTCAAATGCTCCCTCATGAATGCGTCTTTGCTGAGGTCCCGGCAGGAAGAAGTGACTACACTCTGGGGCCCCAATCTCAATTCCCACGCCTGTGGCACTGCATGGCTCTCCGTATCAGGTGTTTGGAGTTGACTTTCCTATTCACCTTCCCTGCTGCCATGGGCACACACCTTGCTTCAACAGATGAGTGAGTGAGCAAATGTACGAACAGTTGAGGAGCCAAATGAACAAGTGAGCAGTGAGGCTTGCGCCGGGGCTCCTGGCTCCTGCAGGCACGGAACACGGGAGGGTCAGCACGCGCCTTCCCCATTTAAACCCTGCTCGCATTCAGGTCCAACCCGGCCCGACAGGGCACACGTTTTCTCTTTAGCAAACGCAATTCACATACGAGGAAACTTATTATGCACACGGAGCAAGGAAAGAGAAAAGCAAAAATTAAATTAGATGGCAGCTTGGAAAATGCCCACTGTGCAAAACCAGCAAGCTAAGTAGTTTGTTCGGCCTCCCTTGAAGATGTGACGGTTTTAATTTGGGTCTCTGGGACCCGGCTCCTGAGGCACCAGGAGGCTCCTGGTGAGAGGGAAGTGAAGGCAGTTTCAGATGAGCAGACCCAGATTCAATTAGTAATCAATTTTGACCCCAACTCTCCCCACAGGCGGGCAGAAGTAATGAGAAGACGGGGCGGGCCTGGCTGTGAACTCCCAGGCCGTGCAGAGCAATGCTCTCCCCCTCCCAGTCGTGGGAAGAATCAGTGTCCCCGAGAAGGCACCGCGGCCACCATGTGCTCCGGCGGCTGTAGATACAGGCAGCCGGGAGGGCATTGGGTTGGGAGAAGCAGTCCCCTTCCCTGGAAAGACCACCATGTCTCTGCCGTAGCTCGCCCTGGGATCCAGCGCTGCAGAACCACGACCTGGGAGCCGCAGAGCAGCCCTGAGGCCTGTGTACCTGCTGTTTAATCAGATGCCCTCTACAGATGCAAATTGATAGATGTGTTTAATAAGGATGGAAACAAGGCTCCAGCGGCCCGCTGCTCCCTGCCCCAGGTCCTCAAAACGCACCAGAAGCCTGGGATGGCTCCCTTCTCCTCCAGTGCACTCCAGCAAGCTCAGCCTCTCGCCCCACAATCCCCCTCCCAAGTGCCAAAGAGGTTCCCCACAAAGTCTCAGGGCTGGTGGCAGGAGGGCCAGTGGCGTGCAGCTGCTGGGTCCAGGGCAGACAGCCAGGGTGGCTCAGCCGAAAGCCCGCCTAGCCCGTGGGTTCTCCCCGGCATCCCACCTGAGCAGTGCATGCAGCCCCTGTTGCATGAGGCATCTGCAGGCAGGAGAGGCTAGGGGGTTGAGCCCTGGGCAGGCGTGAGCCTTCAGCCAAGAGCCCAAGGCTCCCTCCCCTCCTTCCCTTCCTGCAGAGGCCTCACGGGGTTAGGGGTTCAGGTATTGGGCCCTGGGGCAGACTCACAGCCTGCCCTGTTCCTGCCTCACGGTCCTAGGACAGGCTCGCAGGAGACAGCTCAGTATCTGTCAGCCCTCACCCTCCTCACCATGCCCTGACTCTGCTGGGACAGCCCTGGAGGGGTCTCTCTGGCTGTGGGGGATCCAGGGCCCGGCCTCTCAGCACACCTTCCTCCCGGTGATACTGACATTCTTTTTATTTAATTATTTCTTAGACGGGAGTCTTGCTCTGCCACCCAGGCCAGAGTGTTAGTGGCATGATCTCGGCTCACTGCAACCTCCGCCTCCCGGGTTCAAGGGATTCTCTGCCTCAGCCTCCTGAGTAGCTGGGATTATAGGCACCTGCTAGCACGCCCAGCTAGTTTTTGTATTTTTGGTAGAGACGCGGTTTCACCATCTTGTCCAGGCTGGTCTTGAACTCCTGACCTTGTGATCCACCCACCTCGGCCTCCCAAAGTGCTGGGATTACAGGCGTGAGCCACTGTGCCCACCCGATACCGGTATTCTTATTCCTAGAACAGCCGCCTCCCCCGTGGAGGGCTCAGGATGTCTGGCCCTGTCTCTGTGTGCCCAGCCCTCCTCCAAGGACCTTTACTGGTGCCCACACAGTGGCTGGCTCTGTCCCTGACCCCGTGTTCTAGATCACAGCACACGGGCAAGGCTGCCCATGTCGGGCTCCTGAGCAGAGGCGGTGGGATCTGAAGCTGGGCATCTGGAGCCCCTGCTGGGGCAGTCGGGGAGAAAAGGGCCCCTGACCAGAGTCAGAAACCTTGGACACCAAATCCAGCCCTGGGAGGCCTGGTGAGCGCCTGCCCTCCACGGGCTGAGCCAGCTGTCTGGGGACACATCTTCGCAGGTCCCCACATCCCGTCCCCGGACGGCCCATGAGCGCTGTGCCGGGCCTGAGATGCCCACACCGACGTCTCAGTGCAGGATGCCACCTATACAGCTGCCCTGAAGTCCACCCGGGCCTGGAAGGGCCGCCGACAGCAACAGCCCAGATGTCCTCCGCCCTACTCCACCCACCAGTCAGTCCCTGCCTGTCTTCACCTGGCTTTGCAGGGCCTCTGTCCTCACCAGGTCACAGTGCCAGGGCAACCCCACAGCAGCCCAAGTCTATGCCTGTCACTCAGAGATGCTGGTTTCTCTCCACCCCAAGGAGGTGGCCTCAGAGCCCCCCACAGAGGGGACTCCGAATCTCACCCATGGGGGATCCTCCCTCCTTGCACTGTCTCCTGGGCTGTGGTCAAGCTGCTGCGCCTGGAACCAGGGCTTCCAATGCCCCTGTGTGAGGTCCTTCACCCCGAGCTGCCTGCACTGGCACAGGGCTACTGGTTAGGCCCCCAGCAGCCCCCATGTTTGCCCCAGGGAGGGGTCTCCCCACCCACTCTGGTCACAAGGTGGGGCCCAGCCTGGATTTAATGCCTGCCCTACACACCCACGCCTGACTTTTGGCTGGTGTTGACACTGGGACACACAGGGCCTTGGGGAGGTCCTGCCTGTGGGGTTCCCAGGTCTCACGCTTACCCCTGAGCCTGGCCGGTCACCAGCTGCCTTGGTAAAGGCCAGTCTCTCTCCATGGCCAGGCACAGCACATGCACAGCAGACTTCCCTACCAGCGGACAGGCTTCCGCCAGATGCCGGATAGCCCCTGCCAGGGGCCCCTTTCCCCTCCTGCCCCATGCCACCCACAGCAGGTGCCCTTTCCAAGTGCTGACTCAGCAAGGCTGAGCATGGCGCAGCTTGTCAGCAGCTTGACTTCTTCGGGAGGACGCTGCCAGCTGACAGCAGGAGCTCACCTGCACACGCTCGGAGCCCGTGGGGGCGGGGACTGTGGCACGAGTGTCTTGAGCTGGCCAGACCCAGAGACAAGTACCGGGTCCCTCTGGCATATAGACGACGGAAGGGCACCCAGGGGACCTCGCCGTCCTGCAGCAGCCCCACTGCTGTCCTTTCCCTCCCCCCAAGGCAACACCAAAGAACCACAGTCTTGGACCAGAGACCCCCACACACAGGCAAGTAAGGCAGGGCGCCGGCCTCTCTCTGATCAGCCCCCAGGAACTGGAGACCGCACCCCAGCCAGTCCCCAAGCCCACAAGCTCACAGCACCCACCGCGAGAGCAGCTGTCTGATGGCTGGGGGTCTGAGCTGAGGCGGCACCGAGGCCTGGGGGCCTTCAGGGAAGGGGTCGCGTCAGGGAAGAGGCGCCCTCAGTGAGGTCCTGGGGCCGTGGGTGCTTACCGTCCACACAGGCGGGCCGGGCTCTCGTGGTGCCGGCGATCTGCCCCTTTCTGCACGCACAGCGGGCGGTCTGCCGAGCAATCGTCCTCCGAGGCTGGCTGCTGTCCCGGTCCAGGGTCACAATCTCACAGGTGCCGGCGGCCAGCTGACCTGCAGAGAGGAGCAGAAGCCACTGAGTGGCCACACACTAGTCACCCCACAGCCAGAGCCCACCCACAGAGGGGCCCTCGGTGGCCAGGCCACAGGGCAGGGGGACCGCATCACTCAGAGCGAAATTCCGAAAGCGCCTGGAAGGCGGCCAGCAAGGGGCACTCGGTGGAAGCCAGAGCTGGGTGAAGCCGGCGACCTCCGCTCTGCGCACAGGCTGGTGTTCAGGCGGCGCTGCCTTGGCAGACAGGAAATTACCCACAGCCCCATCTCTGTCTCGCCCGGAAATGAAAGGCTCGGATCAAGAGGAGGGAGCGGATTTCCCTGCACACAATCAGGCCTGCAGGAGGGAAGCCGGCTCCATGTGGCATACTGCTTGGTCTCTGCCCCCAAACACCAGCACGCTGGCCCCAGGACGTGGCACGCTGGAGTCGGAAAACACGTCAGACCCCCTCTCAGCCTTGTCAAAGGCTGTGTGGAACCAGGAACTGCCGTCCCTGCCTGGGTACGGACACACGAGCAGGCGGGCACCATGGCGTGCATCGATGCCAGAAGGTTCAGGGTTTCCTCCGCCCTCCCACAGCCCAGTGCATGCCCACACACCTGTGTGCACATACCACACCCCTGGAGTGAGCCACAGGCCTGCAGGTGTACACGGTGACACCCAGGCGTGAGCACACCAAGGCCAGGCGGCCCAGGCTCACCAGCCACACCCGAGGACATGCCCTCTCAGGTGCAGGTGCCCATGCAGACACAGAGAGACGCAAGCATCATGGATGTGCTGCGCAGACACCCACCACCCACAGGTGCCTGTGGACAGGCTCCCACGGGGCACCCTGCATCCCCCATCTCCCTTGTCATACCACCCCTGCTCCCCACGTTACAGACACCCCACATGGCAGGAGGGAGGCGGGAAGGATCCCGGGGCAGAGTCAGGCTTTGGGACCAGCTGTGATACAGAGAAGAGACACGTTTCTTCCAAAGGTACCAACATAAATAATTTCCCTGGCTTTCCTCACCCCCACGCCCCCTAAATCCCAGGGAGAAGGCCGTCTCTCCAAGGGGCCGACAGCCCAGGCATCTCTGGAGAGGGAAGGTGAGCCACCAGGAGGTTCTACCCTGCAAATAAACCCATGGAATTTAAGATGCCACTCTGTTGGCATAACGAGGCACAGCCACCACCAATCACAGCCAAACTAACACTGACAAATAAAAATAGCGAAGATGAAAACCAGCCACGCCAGGGCAGGCGGAGGTCGTCCCTCAGCCAGTGCTGCCCAAACCCGCCCTGCACGGTGAGTACCAGGCGCCTGCCATCCAGCTCCATGTGGGCACCTGCGCCCTGGAGCCGCCTGGATGTCCGCTCCCTGGCTGACTCACTCTTCCACCCCAAGTGGGTAGTGAGTGGCTGCTCTAAGCCTGCCTCTGTGTGGGGCCCTGGGGCCACGGTGGTGAGAAGAGACTGTGGTGTCCTCCCCAGGGACCCCTTCCACCTGGGGGAGAAGGCAGCAGCATCACAGCGACGCCTGGGCTCAGGGCTCCCAGCCTGTGGGCATCAGCAGAGTCTTGGGACTGCCTGGGGGGCTCAGGACAACAGGATGGCAGGGAGGTGACTCCCAGCAAGGCAGCAGTGGGTGCATGAGGGACGAAGGGTAGCCGTGCCACCCTTGCAGAGGAACCTGCAGGCCATGCCCCAGCGCTCCCCAGCAGCCATGTCTTCAGCTTGGGTGCCCCACCTTATCCATCCTGTCTCCTGTGATAACCTTAGATACCCCCTCCTCCAGCACCTGCCTTGTCACCCATCAGCTCTGGATCCCCAAGCCCAGTCCAGACATCACACGTGCTGGCAGGGTGCAGCTTGAAGGAACATGGAGGGGCTGCCCAGCTCTGTCACCCCAAGACCCAGCACAGCTTAGGCCTAAAACAGGGCCACCCCTCCACCTCTGCCCTGCACCCACCGGGAGGCTTCCGAGAGGAGGTGTCAGGGCCGAGCAGGAGCTTCGTGCGTATCAGAGCGCCACAGCGAGCCGCACCCCAGGCAGACTCATGGCACATGCTCTTCTCCCACGGGGCTGGAGGCCATCACCTGACATCCAGATGGCAGCCGGGACGCGGCCTCTGAGCCTTTCTGGGCTGTGGTGACCCTCAGTGTCCTCGGGCTTACAGTCAGGTCAGTCCAGCCTCTGCCTCCACGGCCACACAGCCTCCTCCCTGCAGGGACCCCTCCCTTCCTTTAGGGACACCAATCCTACCGACCAGAGCCACCCTAGAGACCTCATCTTAACTTCACCACATCTGGAAAGGCTCTATTTCCGAATGAGGCCGGATTCGCAGGCACGGGGGTGAGCGCCTGAATAGGATTCAACCCGTAACAGACAGAAAACCAAACTCTGTCTGGAAATCTACGGCTGTCCCACTTGGAATGAGTCCGAACGCCCCATCTGTGGGGTGTCTGCCCCACACTGCTGTGTCCGCGGAGGCCAGGTGTCCCTCATTTGTGAATTCATGGCGAGCTTACTGGATGGCCAAGATTCAGCCAGAGCCCCCAGCCCAGTTCTCCTGGTCTGGCTTCCCACGGCTGCCCGCCTCCACCCTTCCACAGCTTCCTGCCCTGATGATTTCACTTCCTCAATTCATTTTCCGAATCTGTTTTCTGCAGACGGTGCCCCTGGAACCCACCATCTTCCTCCATAGCTGAGCTGGGCCTGCACTCGGGAGGGTAGAGGGGGGCTCCCAGAGGAAGGAGGGCTCACCACCGGCCACGCCTGCCTCGGGCCCTGGGGACGCCACTGAGCTGTCCTTGGATGTGAGCATCGTGGTGGGAGGTCTCTGGGAAAGGCTCCAAGGGGGAGGCTGGAGAGCCCCAGTAGCACAGGGCTACGTGAAAAGCCAGGAAAAGGGGCGGGGAGGTCGACCGGCCCAAAACCGAGGCGGAGAAGACCGATGCTCTCTGGAATCAGCGGATGTCCTGATACACTGGGTGGCAGCCGTGCTCACACCCCAGGGCGGGCGTTTCCAGCAGGTCACACGGCACACCAGGGGATCAGATACCAGATGGGTGTGGCACTCAGTGTCTAGGAGTTAAGAGAGAAGGAGCCTCTGCCGCTGCTGCGAGCTGCATCTGCTCAGCGTGTCAGCCTGGGCTCAGGAGGAGCGTGCAGGCTTGTCCAGGGCATCCGCTATCCTGCATCTGAGTCCGAACGCCCGGCTCAGAGGGCCCCCAGGCCACGTAGGCGGCATTCAACAAGATGAACCGACAGTCGGGTCCTCAGCCCGCTGTCCGCACCCAGAGCTGCAGGAAGGCGGACACACCACACACCAGCCCTCCTTTCCTGTGGGACATGCAATGCCCAGGAGCCAGCCACGCAGACCCTCTGCCACCACAGGCTGGGCCACTATCAGACCCCTGACACCAGTCTCAGGGGGAAGGTGGGCAGGGAGCCCAGACCCAGGGCTGGGGTGCGGGACTGAGTAGGGGCCCCACCCTGCAGAAACCTGTAACTAAGCCCCCCAGCAGCGATGGCAATGAAGAGGAGGGGCAGGCACGCCTGCCACCCAGCACAGCTGTCTCCCGCCCGCTGGCCCTGCCCGCCCAGGCTCCCCTCACTGCACCCGCCACAGCCCTGCAGGCAGCACCAGCATCGTGCTGCAATTTCAGAGGAGGAGACCGAGGCACACAGAGGCCTGGGACCTGCCCATGGGGATGAAGTGGTGTGGGTGGGGCGGGGTGGGGGGATGGGGAGCGGTGTGACCGTGCAGACCACACTCCACACACAGAGTCACACACAGGGCATGTACAACCCCCCCCCCACTCTCCACCCACTGTGAGGCGTTCGGGAGGGGTCCAGGCTGGCCTGGTCTCCAGGCCGCAGGGACGGGGTCCTCAGGGTTCCCACTCCGAGTGCTGGGCGATGCTCGGCCACCACCCAATGCTGACTGCCCCCTCTGTTCAGGAGCTCCAATATCGCCACATGCTTAGAAACGGGGATTCAGAAGGGAAGACGGGCATACCAGGAGTCAGCTGGGGAGGCCTCACCAGGGCTGCCTGGGGGGTGGGAGCCCCAAGGCGCTCTGCCGTCTGGAGGTGCAGGGTCTGGAGGGTAGAGCAGGGTCTGGAGGGTAGAGCAGGGTCCCTGGCCGCCACGGTGCACCTTCCCAGCTTCTGGAAGAAGGCCATCTGGGAGGTTCCAGGGTCCCCCAGGGCTCCTGGCAAGGCTGGGACCATGGCGAGGCCACCCCCCAGGGCTCAGCACCTCAGCACAGCACAGGCGCCTCCACCAGGGGCCTCCCCTCATCGTGCGCTGGCCCACCCACGGTGCCAGCCTTTTCTCAGAGACAGGGGGTGCTGTTTCTTTCTCTTCTCTTCTCTTTTTGTTTTTAAATAAGGAGTTTGCATTGCTTTGAAAACCAGAAGGAAAAACACTCAAAAATAAAACAAGTGACCACAATTCCTTCTCCAGCGCCAGCTCCCACAAAGCCCAGGGCGCGGGAGTCTCGGTGGAGAGGACATGGGACCTCCACCCTTGGCCTTGCAGAGGGCTCACAGCAAGCGAGGCTGTGTGCACATGCGTGTGCTAGGGACAGCGTGTGGAGGGGCGGCCACCAGCGGAATGGAAAGGAAAAAAGCTGCCTTTGGGTGAGTTTTCTTAGAGAGAAAGGCAGTGACGTCATTGCGTGGCGAAAATCAGAAGTTGGAGAGGCAGATTTTAAAAAACAAAGAATCCACCACTCCAGCCCGCAGACACCTCCCGACTCCGCCTCCAGCAGGGGTGTGCATGGGTTGATCACGTGAAACCTTTCCACAACTGCTGTTTGTCAAACATCATTTCACAGAAACCCCCTTCTGTGGAAAGAATGTGGCCACCTGGTATTCTAAGGCAAGCAGTGCCCCTCCTCCCAGGTGCTGAGTAGGGGCTGGCAGGGCAGTGGGGGCACCAGGAAGTGGCTTCAGGTGGGCACAGACCAGGCCTAGGCTCCAGGAGGCGTGACAAAGGGAGTCGTTC